CCATAGAGGATACGGTTTGGGAAGCCCTTCCTGCAGATGCGGATGCCCTCTAGCACGCCGTTGCAGCGCAGCTGGTGCATGACCAGGGGGTTGTCCATCACCCCTGTGGCAGGAGGGAGGGGAGAGGGGTCAGCCTTGGGGCAAGTGATGCCAAGTGCCCTCCCCAAACTAGACCCTTCCTCATTGCTCACCCGGAGCCTTCCGTTCATTGGGGATGATGCAGCGCACAAAGTGAGGGTGGGTGGTCTTCAGGTTAGTCATCAGCTTGTTCAGATTCTCCTAAGGGTGGATGAAGAGGGGGAGTCAGGAGCCACAGGGACCATCCTCTTGGTCCCGAGCCCTGGGCCCCAGACAGTCTTTCACCAGAACCCTCAAAGGGACAGGGAGTTGACACACAATTTATGACATGAACTCAGGCTGTGTAGAATTTACACACCCAAAATGCCAACATAGCTCTAGATTCTTTCCTCCCCAAACTCAGAGCATCAGGTTAGAGTGTAGCCCAAAGGCTGTGGGCTGGGCCTGCCCACCACAGGTCTCCTGGCATCTCTGACCATTCTTACCCGGTGGAGAGCTGACACTGTTTGAAAAGATGAGCCCTTTTTCTTGCCTCCTTTGCCTTTACCGCTATCCCCTAATAACAAGAGAAGGAATAATGAACAAGAGGTTTAAACAGAGGAGCCCTTGGGCAGGGGCAGGGCTCTGTGTCACTAGCTGCAGTGACTTCTTATTCTCCTAGTCTCAGTTTTTCCACCAGGAGGATAGTAACCACCTCTAAAGGTGTGAAGTAATTTAGATAAGATCAGCATGTAAGCAGGTCACCAGTGCTTGCCGCATAGCAGGTGCTGAAATAGTATCAGTGCTCTTTTCAAACCCTCTTCTAACCGCCCCCCTTCATGCTTACATCTTTCCACTTTCTACTTTCCTTCTTGTATTTCATCCACCTCATTTCAGCTCACACCCTCCTCTTCCTTTTCTGACCTGGAGGCTTCTTTGCTCAGGGATCTTCTCAATGTTTACCGAGATCTATGCTGGGCCTGGTGCAATGCTGCGTGTGCTAACCTCACTGACTTCCAGGTGCTCAAAGTCTTGAGGTGGCACGTGATGTGTACACGAATATCCATAACACCAAGTGAACATGGCACTTTTACAGAAAGGGTACAGATGGACTGCTGCAGGATCTCCTGACCCCCATCCTATGGCACACGGGTTCCCTTCTGCCTCTAGAGTCATGTGCTTTGAAGCAGCAGAACCCTGGCCCCTTGTAGCCCCAGAAGTGCTCTGGCCCATTTCAGGGGCTGCCCTCTTACCGGCATCAGCGGAAGCATATGAGGAGAAGAGTGTGGCCATGAGCTTGAGGGAGGACTTCTGGTACAAGCCCACCACCGTCTCATTCAGTGGGTCTTTGTTCTTCTCCAGCCATCCCAGGATGTTGTAGTCCACGGTGCCGGCATAGTGGACCAGGGAGAAGTGGGCTTCC